GCAGGCGGGCCCGCCGGGTCTGCAGCTCGCGGTGATGGAAGACCACGGCGTCGGCGTGGGCCAGCAGGCTGCGGTTGGTGCTCAGGCTGCAGTGCGCCAGGCCATAGCGGGAGCAGGTGTCGCTGGGCAGCTCCGGGGGCCGGTGGGCAAAGGGCCAGTTCCAGACCAGGATGGTGAGCGTGGGGTGGGGCGCGGGGATTCCCCCAGGGGCCCCCCAGAACAGCCACAGCAGCCAGAGGGCCGAGAGCAGGGCGACGCCAGACCAGGCCCCCCAGGGCCCCCAGCTTCTGGGCACAGCCACGCCCTGCAGGGGACACAGGAAGAGAGCTGTCTCCCCGAGCTCGCCCACAGCCCCGTCTCCCGGCCGGGGCTCCCTGAGAACCAGACACTCACAGGCATCACTCAGCCGCGGCTCCCAGAGTCGGTCACCCAGCACACCCGGGTCCTGCAATCACGGCCGCCGCCGGGGAGGCACCCTGCAATCACGGCTGCACCTGGGAGGGCCCTTCTTTCATCTGCCCGGCAGGGAGGAAATGGGGTGTCTTCCCAGCCCCGCCCCGCCCCGCCCCCACCCTGGGGGTGACCTTTGACACGAACCACCACCCTCACCCCACCTCTCCTCCGGGCCTCTGGCTGGCAGGTAGGTGGTTCCGGGGGGTGCCAAGCTGCACCCAATCCCGTGCCCCCACTGGACTCAGGGCAGGGGAGGCCACCCCGGGTGAAGGTCACCCCCACCCCCAGAGGGGCTGCCCACCGCCCAGGCCCAGGGCGCCCGTGGGGAGCAGGCATGCTTCCCTGGAGGCCACCGAGCCCCAGGCCAGCGCCACCCCCTCTCCGGTGGCATCGCCCACTTCCCCTGCTCACCGCCTGCGCCCGGTGGCCGTGGGCTCCCACCCCCTCACCGTGCAGACCTGCTGTGCTCAGCTCTGTGCCCGGAGGCTGAGGTTTCTCCTGCTGCTTCTCATTGGGCCACCTTCCCCCTCAACCCCCCCTGCTGCCCAAACCTTCCAGGACACCTGTGCCAGCACATGGGTTCCCAGGGAGGGGTCCGACCGGGGTCCTGAGAGTGTCTGCCCAGGCGAGGCCCTGGCATCCCCCCCAGTGGGCAGCGGTCAGGCTGGGCCGGCCCAGGGGGGCTGCGGGGCCTCCTCCCCCAGGACACGCATCCACAGACGCCCCTAGCGGGGGGAGGAGGGGCCGGTCCTGCAAGGGGAAGGCTGCTGGGGGCTCCAGGCCCCTCCTCCAGGCCCGCAGCTCAGGATGGGGGGGCAAGGAGGGGGCTTTCCAGGCTGGAAAGGGAAGGAGTCCTTGTGTCCTGGCGCTGGCGGCTGGCGGGCGGGTAGGGGGCTGGCAACAGCTCCAGGAAGAGGAAGGCGAGAATCCAGAGCCTTCTCCTCCCCCACCCCCGGCAGCCTGTGTCCCGCCTGCAGGTCCAGTTCCTTCCCCTTTCGCTGGGGCTCTTCTGAGCTGCAGGTATGGCAGGCGCCCCTCGCCCCGCCTGTACCCCCGGGGCCGAGCTGGTGCCCTTTGGCGTGTTTGTCCTGGACGTGCAGGCAGATCCGGGCCCTGCGCTTCGTGGCTGGGAGGCCTCAGGCCCATTGGGTCCTGGAAACAGCTACCAGGAGCCCTGGGCCGGGGCTGCACCCCTGGTAGCCGGGCCTCCCCCTGCCCGGCCGTCCTGGCCCCCCCAGCGCCCCGCTGCCATCGGGGGGAACCAGGGAGCCCGTCGCAGACCCAGGGGCCGCAGGCGAGTCCGGAGGCTTAAGCACAACAGGGACTGTTCCTGCCTGAAGCCGGAGTAGAGTCCGCTGTGCCCACAGCATAGGGTCCTCTGCAGGAGCAGGGGCGTCGCAGACCCAGGGGCCGCAGGCGAGTCCGGAAGGCGGCAGTTTGCCCCTGGGAGGCTCCGCACCCCCAGAAGGGCCTTGTGCAAGATCAGAGAGCAAGGGGGGCTGTGGGGGCTGTCGGAAGCCATCTGGCTGGCAGGCGCAGGGAGGGGC